GTTTTGTTTTGCTTGCTTGCTGATTTATTTATTTATTTATTGAGACAGGGTCTTACTGTGTAGTTTAGGCTGGCCTTAAACTCACTGTGTAGCCCAGGCTGGCCTTGAACTCTCATTGATTCTCATGCCTCAGCCTCCCAAGTGCTGGGATTATACGCATGTGCCCTATACCTGTCGGAGCTCTTACTGTTTACTTAAGACTGTGCTCAGCATTCCTCTTGTCCTCCTGGCCTCAGTAGAGATACAGTTGATCCCTGCTATGAACCTTTGGGGACTGAGTCAGGGACCTCCACCTGCATAGCAGCAACATCTTTTGTTGCTTGAGCCCCTTGTGTATAATAGCCTAGTATTTGCACACAAACCATGCATATCTGATACTTTAAATCATCTCTAGACAATTTATGTCACCTCATTTAGTGTAAATGCTCTAGTGACTGTACTGTTTCATTTGGGGAATAATGATTTTTAGAATATATACGTGTTCAGTACAGATTCAGTGTTTTGCCAGATATTTTTGATCTATAATCCAAGGATGTAAAATCTGCAGATATAGAGGATCAACTGTACTATGGTGGTCTCATTTATATCTGGGGAAACTGAGGCTGGAAACAAAGTCTCTTATCCAACATCAATCAGGCAAGAGATGGCTGAGCCAGGATTTGAACTCTGGCAGCTTGAATTTCCCCATGATGCTCTATACTCTTTACAAAGAGCCCATGTGAGTTTTTGAGAAAAAGAAATGGGACATGGAGCCACCCCGACCCTGCAGCCTCTGGCTTTATCCACCAGGGCTCCAGCAGCCCTACAGAGTAGCCGGAATTCTAATCCCTAATCTCCTCTTTCTCCATCTCTTCCTCTTTCCCCTCTTCCCTCTTCCTTATTTTCTCCCCTCCTTTTTAGTGAGGTACGTGTAACTTACATACAGTGAAAGGAGAGGCGAGGTGAGCTTTCCCATTCATACCCAAGTAACCATCATGTCATGGAGACATAATGCATTTCTACCTCCTGCAGGAGTCCCTGTGCACTCCAACCCCATCCGTGATCCCGAAATCACTGTCACTGTTCTGACTTCAGTGACCGTAGAATAATTTTGCCTTCTTAAACTTCATTGAAAGCTTCTGCAGTTGTTTGCATGAGGAAACCGAGGCTCAGAGAGATGAGGCAGTTTGTGCTGGGCATGCTAGCTTCTAGACAGCAGAGCCAGGAGGTGAGCTCACGTCTATCCACCACTGCCTCCAAAGGGTCTTCTCATTGCCTGCGCTAAGTGGCAGATCTTTGAGAGTTCCCAAACCACAAGGATGTCACAAAAAGCATTTATTTTTCTTCTAGGTGGGCTGATTTCTGCCTCTTAAAATCGGTTCAGCCCCAGCCATAAGGCCAGCTGGCTTTGGCAGGCCCTTGAGGAGAGGTGGCTGTGGGCAACAGGCCTGTGGCCAGGCTGGGGGCAGCAGGAAGCCAGCAGGTCTGGAACATTTGCCTTGGACATGGAAGGCGGCTGTAGTGACCTCATTGGGCGGCGCAGGTGATTGAGCTGTGTTCATCTTGCAGCCGAGGCCCTCCTAGGAAGGAACTTGGGAACAGCCAGTTCAGCCTTACATAACCAGCCTGGCCTGGGACCGCAGCAGGCCGGCACCTCAGTGCTTTGTTCTGGGTGGCCCTTTGGCCCAGGGAGCTGGCCGCTCTGGTTATTCTGGTTGGGAGGACAGGGACCTGTGCCCGGGTGAGGCCTCCTGAGGCTGCGCCGATGAGCTCACCACCGTGGCGCCGCACCTGGGATTCTTGCTTGTAGCTGAGGTCACCTCCCAGGATTGCCAGGGGATGACATCATCCCACAGTCCCCCAGCGATGTGCAGAGACACAGGCTCGCCAGGTGGGAAAGGTGAGCAGCTTCAAGGAAGAGTCTGTCTTGGCTGGGAAGGGAAGCCGGGGGCACTCCCTTGGTGACCATTTTGTTAATCACCTAGAAGTGTCATTACTCACCCCCCTCTGGAGTTGTGAACCATGGCTGGGGTAGAACTTGGGTGCTGAAGGCTATGGAGAGGGATTTGTCTGGCTGTCAGGTTGCCCATTCTCCGACTTACCCCCTGGCTTACCTCCGACAGTCTGTTTTTCATGTTCTGTGCAATATGGGCTGGTGGATAAACACTTCCAGGCATTAGCCTCCCATCCTTGGCCTCTAGGGACCAGGGCCCTCTCATTTTCTGCCTTGGCCCTCAATACCAAGGAGAGGAAGGGAGCCAATATGCGCTATAGAAAACCTGGGGCTCATCTGTATTGGCTCAGCTGCTTCCTGCCATACGATTTTAAGGATGAAACGCACCCTCTCTCAACCTCAGTTTCCTGGTTTTGAAATGGAGACCAGCCCATTTCACAGGAGCAGATAGGATGCATGAATGCAAATATTACCTTCCCGAGTGGCCCCCCACGCTGACACCAGCACAGTGGACTGGGGGCCCGGTAATCTGAAGGTTATGCTGTGGCTGTCCTGTCCTTGGGAATGTCCTTGTGGACAGCCCTGCTGCTTTTCTCAGACCATAATAGCTCCTTGTTACCTGAGCACCAGCGATATCATGCTACGTTCCAGGACACAAAGGTGGTCCTTAGTAAAACGACTTCCCTTGTGCCCGCCAACCCATTCCTTCCCAATGCTACCATTTCCAAGGTCCTCTTGGAGTTCAGTTGTGTAAAGCAGGTAATCCTCTGTACAGGACCTAAGGGGCCTAATAAATATGTAGGAGTTTTTTTCAAAATTGATTTATTGACTGATTGATTGAAGCAATACTGTGGACTAAACTCAGAGCCTTTACACCAAACTGTATTCCCAATCCCCCTTTTTAATTTTATTTTACCTTGAGATAGGGTCTCATTAAGTTGCTCAGGATGGGCTGGAACTCCGAATTCTCTTACATCAGCTTCCCAGTGCGCTGGGATTACAGGCGTGCACTATCATGCCCAGCTGAGTTTTGTTTTTAACTGGCAAATAATAACTTTATATACTCATGAGGTGCAAGGTAGTGTTGTGATTCATTGTAGAAGGATCAGGTCAGCCTAATTAGTGTCAGATATTTATCATTTCTTTGTGGTGATAGTATTTAAAAGCCTCTCTTTTAGCTAATTTATAACAGGGCTAGCTACCCATGTCACATGATGGCTTGAAATAATATATTATAATTTAACTGTTAGTTATCTTGCCTGTGCAATAAAACAACAAAACTCCTTTCTAACTTTGTACCCATTGACCAACATCTCTGGGTCCCCATCCTAATCATGTTGAAAATCAGCCCAGCACAGAGGGCCCTAGCACCGTCCCTTTCAGCTGCCCATGAGACCAGACCTTTGGCTGTGGCTCCCTCTCCCTGCAGGTAGAAGGAGGTTCAGGCGGGCAGTGTGGTCGCCACTCAGCAGCTTCTCAGCAACATCTCTGAGGCATCTCAAGCTCATGATCACCTTTGGAACTCCTGCCTCCAGTTCTGCTCCATTTCCGGGACTCCCTGGTCCAGAGAACAGGTCCCGAAGGAAGTGTGGCCATCTTCCTGATGGACATCCATCAGCAGGTTCAACCTACTCCACAGGACATCCAGCTTCTCGAATTTCCACTGCTCCCACCTGTGGGCTGCAGCCTCCCTGTTGCATGATAGGCCTCCTTGGCAGTCCTCAGGCACTGGAGGGAGCTCATTAAAGGGCAAACCTTACCATACAAGCTGTGCTCAGTGTCAAGTCTAAAGGCCATGGCCTCCGAGCTGCCTAGCGGTGCTGCCCTCTCTCCAACCGTGCCGCACAGCATCCTTCCTTTTGCTGTTATGCTGCAGCTTGATGACTGTCATTTAGTTCCCCAAATGAGCTGACCCTGCCCAGTTCCAGGTCTCTGGAGACACTATCAGGACCCTTCCTCCTCTTTGCTGGGACCATGCTTGCTTATCTATCCTCCAGGCTTTAGCCCATGTCTCAGAAGCAGAGGAACCTTCCCAGCCAGCTCTTCCCAAAGGATAGGCATCTCAGGGTACCCTGCAGCACTAATCCTGGTTGGTGGCAATGTATTTATTTAGGTCCTTGCATTTGTGAATGGATTGGAAGCACCATGTTGTGTGGGTTCTTGCCACATCTGGTAGCTGGCAGGGGGTAGGTACCCAAAGGAGTGTTGAGTAAATGTGTGTTGCTAACAGATCCTGACACTGTCCCTAACTGACCATTATAGGGGACAGCCAAAGATAGCCTCATCCTTGTCCTCGAGGCTGTTACCTTACATGGCACAAGGAACCTTACAGATATGATTGCTTTAGGAGTCTTTAGATAGCAGGGTCACTTCGGTTACCCAGATGGGATAGATGGGGGTGAAATCACCAGAGTTCTTCTATAAGGGAGGCAGGAAGTCATAGAGGAAGGAAACTGCTATGTAAGTATAAGAAAATAAATTTTGATTATCACACAGCCATTGACTGTGTGATCGTTTGTCATAGCGGCCACCGGAACGTCATAGAGCTGTCTGGTCATGTTGCTAACCTTGGATCCTCCCTAGAACTTCGTAAAGGCCCAGGTACTTCCTGACTTCCCTGATAAGTGGCAGAGGATCCCAGTAAGACAGACAGTAGTACATGTGCCTGCTGGTACCAGGCCCTGAGCCCTACCAAGACCCCCATTTCTCATTTTAATGTTCAAATCACCCCATTAGTAATGAGCACTGTTGTTGATATTTAACAAGTGAGTTCATAGAGCTGAACACAGAGAGTCTCAAAACCAAGATCTGAACCTGAATCTTTCTCAGAAAATGCTCTTCCCCTGACGCACCCTTCCTCCCTCCTCGACACTGGCCTCTTTCCCTTTCCAGAGTGTGTTCCAGTAGGGAGCCCCGCTCTCCTGCACCTGAATGTGCACAAGGGTTTACAGATAAAGCTCTGGGTCATCCATACTGTAGCCAAAATGAGATGGTCTCTGGCTGTCTCCTATGGCCAGCATTGGTGCTTACATCTCAATAAAGGTTTCTGTATTTGTCTCTCCCTCAGTGTGAACGAGCTGTATGTTGATGACCCGGATAAGGACAGCGGGGGCAAAATTGACGTCAGTCTGAACATCAGTTTACCCAATTTGCACTGCGAATGTGAGTATTTCAAATAACTGCTCCAGCAAGGAGCTCCTCCTTGGGACAGAGCTGTGTGTGCTGGTGGGGCATGACATCCAGGATAAGCAGAGTGGAGGGCCAGCAACAGGGGAGCATGTGCTGCCCGCACTCTTCAGAGATTTTCTGAAATAAAACACACACACACACACACACACACACACACACACACACACACACTCGAGTTACTTGTTCAGAACAGCCACATTGGTGCAGGGAAGTGGAGCCTCTTGGGTCCTGTTTCTTAGAAACTGAACCTGAGATTCTCATGCACATGGCTGAAAGGAGGAAGAGAGGGCAGCTGGACAGAAAGAAAACTGGACCAAGGCATATGCTCAGCTGAAGTCTGGCCTCGGCCTGACTTCACAGGGAGCTGTGTGTATGACAGTACAGTTTTTCCCACTGGTCGCATTGGGACCAGGCTTACGGGTCATTACTGGCAAATACTTTCAGATGGTGTGCATGGAAGTAGTCACATGACCTCCCAAGCAATCAAAAATAGGAGACTTTTAGCCCTGAGCACTGATCGGGAGCAGGACAGGACTCTGGGTAGCCAACACCTGCCAACGCTGGGTCAGACCTCTATGCGTGAAAGGGCTCCAATGACATCTATTCCAGGAAAGCACAAGGAAACTTCTTCTTTATGTCAACTCTATTTTTGTTTCTTTTAATCGAGATATTAAATTACTTTTGTAAAGTAAAACACAATCAGTCTGATTTGGAGTCAGATCCTAGCTCTTTTGCTTATGAAAACTGGGAGTTTGGCTAAGGTGACTTCAGCATCCTCCTCCGTGAAAGGAGCTCACCGTAGTATACTTTGGCTGAGATTGCTGGGAGGGTCTGATATAATGGTTCCTTGATTTGTTGGTGTCCCCTCTGGGCCTGGGGTCCCAGCCATCCCTCTTCCCTGCCTGGCATACAAACTGGCACAGCCTCCTCTCCTCTTCCCACTGCATCCCTTCCTGTTAAAGGGCACAGGCAAGGACAGGATACCGGGTGGGCGTCCAGCCAGAGATAAGGAAACATTCAGCTTTGATAACTGTTTTTCGTGAGAATGTCACAATTTTGAACCCATTGTAGGGCCCAAGCCAGGGAATTTGCTGAAATAGGTCAGCTTTATTTGTTTTTATTTAAAAAAAATTTTTTTTCCTTCCTGTTTGAAGAGTAATTTCATTTAGCAGCTTCTCCTTCAGGAGCTGATTGTGTCTCCGGCACAAGGAAATTCTTAGGCCAGAGGACTTGGGACCAAAAGAGCAGGAAAAGGAAGGGATGTGGCTCAGGCTCTGTGCCCGCTGCAGGCGGTGGCCTAGGATAGGGCTAGAAGTCCTCGGGCTGCTGGCTGTGTCAGCCTGTCTGCCCTGCTCCCTTCCAGGCCCTTCCACCTCTGCAGGATACACTGTGACCTATGATGGGCAGCTGACACCAGTGCCATAGCATTTTTTTTTTAGAAGAACCTCAGGGTAACTCAGTGGTAGAGCATTTGCCTAGTGTGCAAAAGGTCCTGGGTTCAACTCCAAGTATGAACTAAAAAGTCTTCCAATTTTTATCATGTAGGGGCCAGGGATTTAGCTCAGTAGCACAAGCTCCTGCCAGTACAAGGTCGTGAGTTTGATCCCAGGTACCAAAAAATAAATAAATTAAAATAAATTTTTATCATAGACAAAAATGTATGCTTGTCATTGTACCTTAGAAAATCCAGAGAAGTGCCCATAGTTTACTGATGATAATGGTGTTTCTTGAAAGGTTGACATTATTCTGTCCTACTGGCCCTCCCTTTTGTGCATCTGCGAATGTGGCCAAGATCATACTGCATGTGTAGTCTCATACTCCTCTTTTAAAAGTACTATTCTGAGGCTAGGGATATAGCTCAGCAGCACGGCGCCTGTCTGGCAAGTACAAGGTCCTGAGTTCAATTACTGGTGTATACACACACACACACACACACATATGCGTGTGCATGCACACACACATAATACTATTCTTTAGAGCAGGGAATTAGCTTAGCAGCACAAGTATCTGTTTGATAAATATGAAGTCTTGAGTTCAATCCCTGGTGCCTCCCCAGCAAAAAAATTTTTACTACAAAACTCATAAACCAATATAGGAATTAAAAAAAAAAAAATACACATTCAGTCCTGGCCAGGCATTGTGGTGCATGATCTTAATTCTGGCACTCTAAGAGGCTGAGGCAGGAGAATCACAAGTTCAAGCCCTGCCTAGGCAATTTAGTGACTTAGGGAAGCCCTGTCTCAAAATAAAAGAGAAAACAACTGGGGACATAACTTTGGGTTTAACTTTCAGTACCAGAGAGGGGAGAGGAAGGGGGAAAAGGGAGAGAAGAAAGGGATCGATTCAGAACACACATACAAAATAAAGAGACTCCTTTTCTGCTGTCTTCCATTAGTCCCGTGTGTCACCCTCCCCTAGGAGGCTCTGCTAATACTGGGCACAACTGCAGAAATATCCAGAGAGAAGTAATGCATCTGTACCAAACATGTATAGATTTTCAGTTTTGTTTTGGCTCTCAGTTTTAGAGATTCCAATCCATGACTAATTGGTCCCATTGCTTTGGGCCTGTGGCAATCAGTACATCATGGTGGAGCCGAGCTCTTACCTCACACCAGGGAAACAAAAGAGACAGAGGAGCTCATCCCTTTCAGGAGCAGCCCCGGGGGGTCAGAAGAACACCCCATGCTCCAACTCCTGAGGCCTCCACCTTCCCAACAGCACCGAGCCAGGGAACAAGCTTTTATCCCACGAGCCTTTGGGGAGCACATAGGATCCACTGCAGCAGCTCTCCATGTGGCATTTGCATTCTGTGATGTATTGGAAGTCTTTAGATGAAGATGTGCATGGGTTAGTGGGTTACTATACCGTTTATATAAGGCTTGAGCATTCCCAGATTTGGTGTCCCTGCAGGTCTGGAAGTCAAACCCTCATGGATACCAAGGGACAACTGTATAATTTTTAGCTTTTTCTTTCATCTAGAGAAAGGTCATATCTATATCTATATCTATATATTAATATCTTGGAGCTGTTCTTATAATGCTCATAATGTGAGCAGAACAGTAGCTCACTCTCGCTACTGTTCAAGCCTGTCCTGCATCCTTGCCTTGGGTTAAAGTGAGAGGTGTCTAGCAGAGTGACAATGAATGGGGACTCCAGAGCAAGATTCCCTGCTAGCAGTCCAAGCTCTGGTGTTTCTCGGCCTGGGCAATCTCTGCCTCCATTTCTCCATGTGTCAACTGGGCTGATACTATCACCATCCCCACAAGGATGTTCAGATGCTGTGTTCTTACATGGCAGCGCGTAGAAGAGCACAAGGCACATAATAAGTGCTGTTTTAAGTTTCTTTGCTCCTCACGAGAAGCCTGTGACAGAAAGACACTGAGGCACGGAAACAATAGGGTCCTTGCTAGCCAGTCAGCTGCTGCCTTCCACTGAGCCTCCTCTCCATGCTCTATCTGCTGCACCACGTTAGGGCTCTGTGTCTGTGGGTGGGGTAACTCTGCTCTCCTTGGTTCCTGCAGTGGTTGGGCTCGATATTCAGGATGAAATGGGCAGGCACGAGGTAGGCCACATCGACAATTCCATGAAGATCCCGCTGAACAACGGTGTAGGCTGCCGCTTCGAGGGCCAATTCAGCATCAATAAGGTATGGAGACCCTGGCCATGCCTGCCTGCCTATCTGTCTGTCTGTCTCTCTCTCTTACTTTTTGAGACAGGGTTTCACTACTGTAGTCCAGGCTAATCTTAGCCTTGAACTTACCATGACCTGTCCTCAAACTTGAGGTGATCCTCCTTCCTCAGCCTCCTAAGTGCTGGGACTACAGGTGTGTACCACCATGCCCAGCCCATGCCCCTCTTATCTACTCCCCATTGCCCTGTCCCCTCTCTCCCTGGACACCTGTTGATGGAACTGAGTGTCCCCTCCTCCTGACCCCAACAGAGCCCCCAGCAAGCTGATGGTCAGTGTCCAGCACCTGGCAGTTCCTGCTGAGAATCAGGGTGGGGTTCGTACTCCCTGAGGTTTTAAGCCCCTGTTGCTGGTTCAGAAAGTGACCACTCTTTTCTCAGTGAGAGCGCCAATGGTGGTGAGAAGCCCTTAGTGCCTCTTCATCTTCTTAACTAAGCAATGCCCAGCAAGTCCCTTGACCCAGACTTTTACATATTTAAGGTGACTGTGTGATGGTGTTACTAATACAGTGAGACTACCTACTGCACAGTTTTGTGAGGATGAAATCAGCCAGTACACATTCATTCATGCAGAAAGCACCTGAGGACCTTTCATATTCAGGCTCAGAGGCTTTGCACTGAAATGATGGGCAGAGCCCAGGCTGGTAGCGCTCATGTTCCCCACCAGCAGCCTACAAATGGAAAGCTGTTACAGTGGATGCCAAGTGTGGGATGGGGAACAAAGCCAGGCAGAAGTGAGATGAGGTGGGCTTGTCAGCGCCAAAAGCCCATTCAGGTATCGCTGGACCAGGAGCAGTGGACAGCACCATTTAAAAGAGTGCTGATACCCAGAGAGGATAAGTGTCTTCCCCTGGGTCACACAGCTGTCTTAGTGTCCTGGAGTCACCCTCCCCGGCCCAGCCGGATGAGCCAATGGCTGCTCCTGGCTTCTGCTTGCTGTCTTGCAGCCTTTGCTTAGAACATCCCTCTCTAAACCCTGATATCTGAACCTGAGGTTGCAAACTCTCTGGTCACCTCTGGCTCACAGACAGGCTGCATCTGTCCTGGCTAGCACTTAATCACATCAGAGCTATCACTGAAAGATCACAAGTCTACTTTTCTGGCTTTTAAAAGTCAGAGGTTCAGACCATACCAGATCCTTGTTCCCACTAGTGATGGCAACCTGGCACAGGAGTCAGCTATTCCCTTCAGACAGGGCCTGTACCACCACTTCCCACCATCCCTGATAGGTGTGCAGAAGGCTGAGGCTTATTTTGCATGGGCTCAGGGCACACTGAGTGCTACTTCAGAAGGCCCAGAGCTCTCTTAGAGTGTTTGTTTGGTTTTTGGCTTTTTGAGACAGGAGCTTGCTATGTAGTCCAGGCCAGCCTTGAACTTACCCTGTAGCCCTGGCTGACCTCACAGTCACTGCAATCCTGCTGCCTTGGCCTCCTGAGTGCTGGGACCACAGATATGTGCCATGACTCCTGGCCTTTTTAGGTTTTGCCTGGAGTAGAAAAAAATGCCATTTCTGCTGCGTTTTATGGATTAAACTGAGTCACATCATAGGTTGGGTGGGGATAATCCAAGGGTAAGAGTTCTGGGAGGGGTGCCCAGGGCTTTTTCTGCAGCTCAGCCACCACACGTCATCCTTGTTGTGCCCCTGATTTGAATTTGAGAAGCTGTCTGAAGAGGTTAGGCAGGGAAGGAAATGTGACCAGATTGATGCTTCAGAGCCATGCTATCCAATAAACAGCCACTGGCCACGTAAGGAGATTGAAATTTAATTAAAAATCAAATTCAAATGTCCCTCAAGTTTCACTTGCCAGATTTCAAGTGCTCAGTAGTTGCACGTGGCTGTCCTGTGGCCACATTTTTCAGTCTCTTTTACAGTGACCAGTGTTCCAGGTCACCGCTGCCCCAAGCCCTGGAGCAACATGAAGCTCGCCCGCCCACCCTCCCTTGCTAGGAGGAGCCTTTGAGGAGCCACGGCTCCAGTAAGGAAGTTGACAGTGACAGCCTGCCATGCCGTGATGAGCAGGACAGTGGCTGTCCTCCTTATCTCACAGCATCAGGAGTGGACATGTCCCCTGGCCTCCTTATCCATCCATCAGGAAGTCAACCAGAGGCCAGATGTCAGGGTTCACGTGTTCGCAGCTGCCCGGGCAGACTGCGTGGCGACCTCGCTTAATCACCCAGCCCCCAGGAGGAGGGTGGAAGGGGCAGGGGGAGGTGGCCCGGCTCCAGCTATGTATTTTTAAAATCCATCAGAGACACTGACGTAGGTTCCTCAGTCAGAGGCGCTAAAAGTGTCATCGTTGCTTTCTTCAACCCAGCGTGTGCAGGCATGAGTCAGCCACTGGTGATGGATTCGGAGTGGAGCGGGAGCGGGCTCCTGACGCACAGCCCCGCGGGCATGGCTGCGGGTGGCAGGTGCTCGGGAGCCAGGCTGCTCGGCTCACGTAGCTCCTGGAGCAAGGCCCAGGCGCCAAACCTGACTCTGAACTGTGCCCGGGGCCATTCCACAGGAGTTCCTAGGCCATCACAAAAAAAAGAAAGGACTGCACACGTGTGCCGGGTGGCTGTGGGTTTCTTATTTCTGAGAGCAGTAGGCAACAGGGACTTGAGTGCGGGTTGCATCATGGGAAAGGTTTCTAATGAAAATGTATCCAGATATTCTGCGTGGCAGAGAAAATGGAAAAATTTATGTTTTGTTTTCTTGTGGTGCCAGGTGTGCCAGGGCCTCCTGTGTGGTAAGCTGGACTCTTTCACTAAACTGTACACCAGCCTTGAAGATGGAGGTTTAAAACCTTAAATGCAGTGAGCTTTCCTCATGCACTGCCTGTGGACACGCAAGGCACAGGGTCCACCCAAAGGGCCCTTCTCTGCTGACTAACGACAGGTGTGATCATCCCACCAGCCTGACCAAAGAGCTGCGCCTGCTCTGCGTGTGTCCCCTCCTTTATCTCCCAGCGGCGCTCTGTGACGTGCACAGCGGAGGCGCAGAGTGGCTACTGCCCTTGCCACGGCCTCCTCACCAGGAAGTGGGGCTGATTTTGAACTCCGAGGCCCCTGGGGCAGCCCATGTGTTCCCCGGAGGGAGATCTTGCCATGAGGTCCTTCAGGCCTCAGTGAGCAGTCCCTCCTCCTCTCCCGCCCACACCACACTGGACAGTGGCTCATTGATCCCAAGCCCATGGCCTGTTGGCCTGTGCCTCTCCACCAGCCCCCAGCTTTGCCCTGCTGGAGGTCAGGTTGCTGCAGTAGCCTGTGGCTTTGGAGTGGAAGCAGATTCGCCAAATCAGCAGACTTTGGTGTGGCTGCTCGCTAGGCTGTGAGCCAGTGCAGCTCATCTGACCCTGCTGAGCTGGGATAAGATAACCCCTGGGGTCTATATGTAGCACTTGGGGTCTTGATAAGCAGCCCCCTCTTGTGCTTCTTTGTTTTCCCCTGCTGCTGGCCCCCCAGTCCCTTTTCTATTCCAAACTCTTCTGGCTGTGACAACCCATCCCTGCCTGGGGCATGCAGTTCCCTCTACCCAGATGCCTTTCCCAGTCTTCCTGCATCACACAGACTGGTCTTCAGGGCACTCTTGGGAAGGGAGCCCTCCCCAATATACCTTGCACCCTAATAAAGGTGGGGGCTCTTCTCCTAGCCCCCATCATCTGCACAGCCCTTTGGGCCAGTGTGTGTCCCCCAGGGTCTCATTATGTGTTCTAAGTCTGCGTCACAGTGAGCCAAGGGCTTGGCCAGGCCAGACTGTCTGGGTCCTCTCCCCAGATCTGTACCTCCTGAAGGACTGGCTTCATGTAACCATGAGTCTAGGGCACTGAGATTAAGGGGCATCTGGGCATCAGTGGGAGGGAAGAGCATGTTCAAGGGTTCCAGTGCAGCTCATGGCCTGTGACCTTAACAAGGCTCTCCCTACTGTGAGCCTCAGTTTCCTATTCTGTTTCATGGACCACAGTCAGGTTCCAGAGTCAAAGGACTGAATGCGCCTCACTCATTCAGTAAATACTTGCTGAGCACCTGCTATGAGTCGGGGCCCAGGAAGTACAGCAGGGAACAATCCCTGCCGGCTGGGATCTTGCCTTCTGCGGGAGGAGAGAAAAGAGGACAAGGTACATAGGGCAGGCAGTGGGGCTGAGCAGTGTTCTTGCAGCTGTGTGTGGAGGGGTCCTGGTGCCCTTCAGACAGGTGGGCAGACGTGGAGGGCCCTGAGCATAAATTGAGGGAGGCGAGGGTGGGCCAGAGACAGGGGTGCCCAGCAGGTGTGGGGACACACTGGGCAGCACTGCCAGCATACTGAGGAGCCCAGGGTGAGCAGAGGTGACAACAGTAGCACAGGGGCCAGGTAGCATGGGCAGGTGCGTGGCTGGGCCGTGACACAAGAGAATATGGACTTGGACTCCGCAGTAGTCAGCTTTTCCAGGGCCACAGTGGGTGATGTGTAAAGAAGACAAGGTTTATTAGCTCAGTTTTGCATCAGGTGGCCCTGCTGATTGGGCCTCTGATGAGGACTTCATGGCAGATGGTATCACGATGGCAGGCATGGGAGGGGGGTCACACGGTGAGACAGGAAGTGGAGGAAGGGGGCTGGTCTTGCTTTTTAAACCCTCTTTTAAAAACACCATTAATGCCCTCTGAGGGCAGAGCCTTCCACTCACCTGAGAACCTCCCCCAGATCCCACTGCCTGTCACCTACCACTCTGAGGACAGGGCCTTCAATACCTGAACACTTAGAGGACAATCTGCACCCAAACTATAGGAGGCTGAAGAGCAGAATCATTAGAGTTTGGGGCGGAGGTGCAGCAAGGTCATACAAAGGGCTGAAAGCATTTTGTCCATCTCTGCTGAGGCAATGCCCAGAGCAGGGCTAGGGGGAAAGGCCCAGGAAGGAGTCCGCAGTTGTCGTCTGTCCAGAGAGCTTGGACCGGAGCAGCCAAAAAGCCTCAGAAAGGTCAGAAGGGTCAGATGCTGGGTATGATTTGAAGGTGCAGCCAACAGGGTTTCCTGCCATGGGGTCAGAGAGAGGGTTGCAGGACAGCACTGGGCTTTGGTCCGAGCGGCTAAGGGATGGGAGAGAGGAAGAAGACCGCTGGCAGAAACAGAGGTCAGGAGAGCACGCTGGCACGTGCTTATCAGCTTCCGCCTTTGTCCACTTGGCTCCCTGCCGACGTTCCGATGGATGTGATACAGCACTGGTCCGGCTGGGTGAGGGCTGCGAGACCTGAGGAAGAACGGAGGCTACCACAGTGTGTCCTTTGGGCACCCCTGTCTAGGCCAGCCGGCAGACCTGGGTATGTGGCGACTGTGCTGGGAAGTTCTTAGGAAGCACTGGTAGTCTCTAGGCTCAGAGTTGAGCCATGGCCCACATTCCATGCTGCATCTTGGCTGCCATGCAGTGGGTGCATCCTCGTACCACTCTGTCCCAGCACCCTTCTTGGTAGCTAGTACCGCCTTCACTGTACAGTTAGGGAACCCGGGCTCAGGGAGGTAGAGCGACTCCTTCAGAGGCCACAGTGATTCCAGCCAGCCTCCAAGCTCGGGTCTGTGTGACCTCTCAGCCCTCCCATGCCTGGCTCACACAGTCCCCACATTCCATCTCCTAAGGCTGTCAGCCAAGCTCCTGAAACCTGCATTTCTCCCCAGGTCCCTGGCAATTTCCACGTGTCCACACACAGTGCCACAGCCCAGCCACAGAACCCGGACATGACGCACGTCATCCACAAGCTCTCCTTCGGGGACACGCTACAGGTGAGCAGGGAGCACTCAGGGTGGTGTGAGCAGGAGTGAGTGTAGGGGGCTGTGCCCCTGGGTACGTCTGTCTTCCCTGGACGCAGGGCGACGCCTCTGGAGAAGTCTCTGTGGAATTTGTCTCCCTTGTTTCTCCCTTCGCACGTGGTTGTGGTTATCCACAGTGTGCCCAGTGTACGGGTGGCGGATGGCAGAACTGGGCTGCACTCCACTCAGTCACTGGTGTGAAGGAATTCTGATTTTTTTTTTTAAACACAAAACTTACTTTAGGGCCTACCCAGTATCCATTTGTCCCTTCAAGGAACATTGACCAGCCATGCATGGTGGCACACTCCTGTAATCCCAGCACTGTGGAAGGCTGAGACAGGAGGATTACAAGTTTGAGCTGCCTGAGAGCTTAGTGCTCAGCAAGAGCTTGTCTCATGTGAGAGAGAGAGAGAGAGAGAGAGAGACAGACAGACAGACAGACAGACAGACAGAGAAAGAGACCGAGAGAGAGAGAGAGAGCTGAGAATGTAGCTCAGTGGTAAAGTGCCCCAGATCAGGAAGAAAAAAATTTGTTTTAAGAATATTTATCAAACTTTAATCCAGTTATAGAAATGGAAGTGAGATAAAAACCACGATCCACAGCAATGGGAAGGAATATTCTAGCACTCTTCTCTACCACCATCCTTGTGGGCTGGAAACCAAGACTTCAGAGTCCAGCCCCTGCAAATGAAGTCTTCTTTTTGCTCTGCTCCTTGACTGTTGGAGGGGTGCCGTTCTGCTGAGTGCTCAGCAGACCACTGGGTCAGCATGGAGGGCTGGGTTGGAGCCTACTGCTCTGGGCCACCCCCTCCCTGGACCCTTCTCGGGGCCTTTCAGAAGTCTGGAGTACTCAGAATCAAATACCTGAGTTTTCTGTGTGGCTTCATGCACAGAGCTTCAGCAAATTTGAATTTCGGCATGGGCTCAAGCCCCGCCAGCTGCAGGATGCCTCTCCAACCCTGGGTTTGCTCTTCTATAAAAGGAGCACAATAATTACATCTTTAAGGCTATTAAATGAGAGGACATGAAGGTGCCAGACAGAGTGGCACAGTGCTCAGGATGGGAAGCAAGCTTTGATCTGGCCTGCTGTGAGCCCTGCCCACGCTGTCTACGGCTCCCCACTACCTCTCTGTGAGACAAATCTTGCTGGATTCTCCATACACATAAGTGAGATGCTTATGCTAGTAGCACCTAACCAATCCACCATAGCCAGGCCAGGCCTGGGGGTGGCAACTTCTGGGGACATCCCTCACTATGCCTCTCCATAGGTCCAGAATGTCCATGGAGCCTTCAATGCTCTGGGAGGAGCAGACAGACTCACCTCCAACCGTGAGTATCCCACAGGGACAGCCCTCTGCCATGGGGAAGTGGGAAGGGCAGAGGGTGGAGAGCTCACCAGGCACTTGGTGACAGCCAGGGCAGCTGTGCACCCCTCCTGCAGTGGCCTGTGAGGAAGGTGGACTCCTGTTCATCTTTATAGGGGTGGGAAGAAAAGCTGTCCCCTGGGAAGGGCATGACGGTCCTTGGCACATCAGCTGACCTCGGCTAGCGCTATGGTGTCATACTTACCACTGTCCTTACTGCCACTTCACTGTTCTGAGTGGAGAGGATCCCCTAAGATGCCCTGGGGGTGATGGCAGAGCCACCGTCCATGCGGAGAACAGCACTGTACAGTGGGTGGTCCAGCAGTCACCTCCTCCTGCCCCTCCCGCTTGAGCCCCTCCTACCAACGCTGGCTCCTCACAGTCCTCTCCCTTTAGAAAGAACGCCACAGAGCATAAGAATGTGTGCAGGTGAGAGCAGACCTACACCCGCGTGTGTGCCCATGCGCACGGTACCGACCCAGGCAGACACAACCCCCGCCGCACACACAAAGGTTTCTGCAGGACAGGGCACCTTGACTTTGCCTAGTCCTCACCTGAGCTCGATGTTTCTACCCGTGTGGCTTCTCTTGTTTTTTCCTAAAGCACATTTTCTCTCGCATGACCAGTAACGCAAACAAAAGAAAACATTGCCCATGATCTGTCCCTCAACAAACCAAACTTTTCATTTCTCCGTGTCCCTTGCAGTCCCCAACTGTGAACAGAAGTCATTTTTATTTTGGCAGGGTGTGGGTCACAGTCTTCTTTCTCGGTTTTGTACTTGTGTTTGTTACATAACCATCATCTTTGTCCTGTTGCCTGTAAGGAAGGCTGGTTTGCCGTACCTAGCCGCTCTGCCTGGCTTCTTTATATATATATATTTTTTTTGTCTTTTTCCTTTTTACCGGTACCAGGGATCGAACTCACGACCACCTGCTTGCAAGGCAGGTGCTTATGCCGCTGAGCTAAATCCCCAGCCCTCTGCCTGGCTTCTTGAAGGCATCCTTTCAGGATCAGAATGTCAGATGTCTCCAGTTTCTTGTCATCACAGAAGTGCCTCTGCTGTGCGTGCCATTTGCTCTGAGTTTTGTTTTGGTTTGGTTTTTTTTGGTTCATTTGTTCTAGTTTTTGAGACAAGGTCTCACTATGGAGTCCAGGCTGGCCTTGAACTTGCAGTGCTCATCCTCCCTCAGACTCCTAAGTGCTAGGATGACAGGCGCGCACCATCCCGCCTGGCATGTATGCTATTTGCTCCAAAAGTTGCTTGCTCACTCTCCATCTGGGTATGAGCCCACCCACGCTGCCTGCACGGTCCTTCCTTCCGGGGAAGTGTACCGCTTTGCTGTTATGCAGATGTCTGGTGACAGTGGCGGCCAGGAGTCTGCATGTAGCCTATAGGGCAGTCACTGTCCCTCTCAGGTAAGAGTAGCATGTTCCACCATGGCCATCTGCCTGCTCTTGCAGCTAGGACGACCCTTCAGCTGCCCGAGCTGCAAAAGAATGAGGCTGGGAAGGCCCCAGAGTGCGGGAGCCCATAGAGAATATGGCCACAGAAGACCTTGCCTGCTCTGGGCTAATGACGAAAGCATCTCAGCATGACGCAGAAGGAAAAATATATGAGATCAGGTGCAAAACAGCCAAGGGCAGGGCTGGCTGTCCTTTCCTCAGCTTCTGAGCTCACTTCTGCTGGAGCTTCGTCCTACAGGTGCCCTGCAGCTAGGTGTGAGCTCAGATGCCACCACTTCAGCCCTCCCTGACCACTCTATCTAGAGAAACCCCCTCTGAATAGCATGCCTGTTTTTCTTCCTGGCATGTACTACTCTTGGAAGTGATCCTGTTCTTTCAGTTTTCTGTTGTTCTTGGCTGTTAATCCAACTAGAACAGAAACTTCATGAACTCAGAGACTCTGCCTTACCCACTCCTCTGTCTGTCCCTAGAGCCTTGCGCAGTGCCCAGTGTTTAGCAGGTGATAAGCAGTCACACTGGAGGCCACCATGGAGGAGTAGGTACCAGATGGCAGGACAGTGTGGTAAGAATCATGGATTCCAGGGTCTCACTGTTTTCTAGCCCTGAAGCCTCAGAAAAGCCTCTTAACTATTCTGAGCCTCAGTTTCTGCATCTGTAAAGTGGGAAGAGTCCTTGCCACAAGGGTTAATGAAAAAGAATTTTCCACAGGAAAAGGATTAGTGCACAGACCTGCACACGGTGAGCACTTAGTGTTAGTCCTTCTCTTCAGGGCCAACAGCAACTTCCTTCCTGTCAACTTCTGTTCTGTATTATAGAACTGAATGATGTAACTGGTCCTGAATGGTGCAAATGAAATTAAAACAAGAGATTGTTTTGATGCACATGCATGCTGTGGGCTTACAAACGCAGTTGTAGGATAAGGGGTGCATCTCAGTGCAGATACCTGCCAAACATATGCAAGGCCCTGGCTTCAGACTCCAGCATGGAACAAGAAAATGCAGACTCAAACCCCATCTCATTGGTGAGGTTGAGACCAAAAGCTTGGCCATGTGTGGATAACTGCTGGAGCTGGGAAGTGGGTATATGGAAGTTTATTGTATCATTCCAAACCCTTTATGTTTGTACTGCTCCATACTAAGACATCGGGATGGAATGTGAAGGGGATGTGAGCCTGCCTGGACCACATTGGAAGCCAGCAGCCTCTAGGATGCGTCAGCTAATCAGGGATCCCTGTGGGTATGATCTAGTGCTGGGTCTCCAGCGGGCATCTGGCAGACTGCATCAAAGACCTTAAAAATGGTCATTGCTTTTGAGTCATCAGTTCTACTGGTCAGAGAGTAAGCTAAGGAAACAATCAGGAGCGTGTATGAAGATCCAGGAAAATAGTGCTCACCGGGTCATTGTTTACAACAGTTAAAATGAGGAACCACGTCAGTGCCACCCGAGGAGGTTGGCTGAGTACATCACGTGGACCCGCATCATGGAATGGGTGCAGCTGCTGGCAGTGATGTGGCAGGACCACGTTGGCAGTCAGGCCCCAGATGCCTAGCACAGACTGTGTGCCAGGCACTGGGCAGAGGATGTGGATGAAAGTGAAACAGACTCTAGGGAGCTTCCATCCTGCACCATGGATTTAAAAGGATGTTCATGGTGTCCAATCCGTAGGAAAAATCACAGTATGATCCTACTGCAGGAAAACATGACCATATGTATAAACATATGTCTGGCAGTTTATAGTAAGAATGTGAACCAATATTCTGGGGGTGTTGGATTTAAGGGTGCTATTTATCTTTGCCTTTTTGACTACCTGTGTTTTGCACAAATTCTAGCAAAAGTATTACAGGTGTGGTTTTGGTAAGGCAGCCACTCATGCATTCCTTCAAAGTTTTAACTCTGTGTGATGGGTACTATATGCTGAAGGTGGTCTTTGGACTCCCGTATAAATGCAGAGGCTAAACCCAATCCCAGACCCATTGAGTGTGACTTTATAGGGATGAATGAGGTACAGGGCCTGCCTTTTAACCACAAATAACCCTAGTGCTCTGACCTGTGAATCAAACCACGAGCCTTTTGTGTCTCCTGGGCTTCGCTTAGAGGCTGCAGCGCTATTCCCAGGTGTCAGAGGCATCAGTTCAGTTCCGGAAGCCCTGTCTCTTCCTTAGGAGATGCGGTAGAGACGGGAAGAGGTAGGGAGGGAGCACGTCAGGGCCAAGTATGTTCTTCCGTCTCCACCCTCTTAAGAATGAGTCCAAGAACAGCACTGACTCAATGACGAGACCAGGATTAGAACCCACAGGACTGAATTTCCAGGTTATGTTAGCTGTGTGCTCCCCAGCCCAGGGTCCTAAAAGGTAATAATCCATGGGTCCCTGAGCCTCTGCTGACACCCAGAAGGCCCCAGGAATCTATACCTGTCCCTGCTGAGCACCAGCGGCCGTGGGCCAGCTGCTCACAGCCCAGTGCTTGGTTCTGATTACCTCATCGTTATCAGTAGCTGATTCATCTGTTCTTTCATTCATGCTTTGTCCAGTCATCCTCCCATCCGTTCATTCATCCAGTAAGCATTTGCCACCGTCCCTGCCGTACCAGGCTCTGCACAGGGCTCTGGGGACAGTGGGGTGAGTCAGGCAGGCATGGTCCTGGCCCTCAGCAACACCCCCCCCCATCCTGGCTGGATGGGAGAGAGAGAGAGAGAGTTATACTGGAGTATTGCAGAGGAGGGGGAAGCAGACCCCCATCTATCATTCACCAACACGGGGAAGAAACCAGTCAGTTCTTCAGAGATGTGTTTTTTGCGGTTGGTGCATTCTTTCTTCTTGAAGCAGAAACACAGTTTGTTTTTTAAAGTGCAGCAATTCAAAGCAATAGCTACAGTAAAATGAGAACTTTCTCAAATCCTGCCCTTCTCTGTAGAGACCAGAGCTGTGCAGAGTTCCCTGGAGTTTGTTCTAGATGCTTCTGGAACTCCTACACTGGAGAGAGCTGCCGGGGTCAGTAACCTGCTGCCTCAGGCACTGTCGTCTCCCCGCCTACCCCGCTCTAACAGCTGCCTGACTGATGCACATTTGGGTTGTTGCCAGTTTTAGTAGTATGGACGGTGGAGGAGAGGGCCGTCTGGTGGTGGACTGAGGAAAGAGCCCCTTGCCGAGCCAGGAAGGTTGGGGATGAGAACGGGGCGGTGCTCTCCCCTGCTCATCCTGCTGTGTCCTCTCCGCAGCCCTCGCCTCCCACGACTACATCCTGAAGATCGTGCCCACGGTGTATGAGGACAAGAGCGGCAAGCAGCGCTACTCCTACCAGTACACGGTGGCCAACAAGGTGCGGGGGCCGGCCGCCTAGCGGGGTGCAACTGTGCCCTCTGCTGGTGCCAAGCGGTAGTGACAGGCGGCTACACCTCGTCATTTTTGCTGCTGCCTTTCTGGCCTCTCTCCTGGTAGCCGCTGGCAGGTTGTCTCGCCTGCCAGCGAGAAAGACTCTGTCCTTGCCCTGTGGCAGTCTTAGCGTCCAGGAGAGAGAATCTAACCAGGATGTAAGGGTTTGTTGTGACAGGGCAGGGAGAGGCTTTCCCCCGAGGTCTCAGGGTTGCAAATGCCTCAAAGGTCCTGCATCAGTCTGGTCCTTCAGGCTCACACCTTGGTTAACAAGCATGTGACAGATGCTCCAACTCTTGGGACACAGACAGTTTATCCAAAATCAGGAAGCTGATGAATCAGTCCAGCGTAGCTGTGGATTAATAGACGATGAACATCAGGGGCATCCCAGCACCTCAACACTCAAACTCATGGAGTCATACAGACAGGCCTTGGAGGGAAACAGAGGGAGCTCAGACATAGTCATGGGGATTTTCAAGCAGAAATGGCCTCGGGCCTCTGGGGAGATGACCCTGCTGGTGGCGCACAAATGCTTGAAGCCTACAGGCTGAAACACCTCCCCAGACCCAGTGGGCGGGCTTTTCCCTGTCAGCTCCAGTGCTTGCCTTTGTCTTCTGTCCCAGGGCTCCCCGAGCCGACTGTTTAGCTCAGTTAACTAGAATAAAGGAGCAGGAGCTGCATTTATGGAGTACTTCCTATAGGCTAGACATGCTAAACTCTCTGCCTCCATCATCCTCAGTCCCTCTGACAGCTCGGATCCTGGGCGTGTTATCTTCATTTTATAGATTTGTTCAGCAAGACACTGAGGTGGTCATAGACCTAGAAGGTGGCCAAGTGGGGTTGAGAACTCTGGGGCTCCAGAGCCTTGTCTGTTACATCACCCAATCCATCTGACAAGGCGCTGTGGAATCTGCCCACCTGGAAGCTACTCTCTGTTATGACTTAGGGCCCCCCTGCTGTGACCCATCCTGGATTAATCTTGTAATATATCTCTTCAAAGGCAGTCCTATTTCTTTATTCACTGTTTCATGGGGAGGGCACCTGTCTTAGTCCATTTTCTGTTGCTATAGCATAATACCTGAGCCTAAGTGGTTGATAAAGAATAGAAGTTTCTGTGGCTCACGGTCATGGAGGCTGGATGACTGTCAGGCTGTTATGTTGCATCATAGCGTCAGTCAAGACAGAGCAAGTGTGCCAGCCTGAGTCTCTCAGACACTGATGCCATCTTGACGGTCCCACCTTCGTGATCTCATCCAACCCCAGTTACCTTCCAAAGGCCCCGTATCCAAATGCTGCTATCATTTGACTTTAGGGGCTGCATTCAGACTGCAGCAGCTCCTTGTCACCCTCCAGTGCTGACAGCAGTCGGCTGCCAGGACACTGATGTGGTCTGGCTAGAAAGAACATGAGCTCTGGACCAGTTCAGGCCCCAGCTCAGTCACTGCCAGCTACGTGACCCAAGACACCACATCAGCACTTCAGTTTACTCATTTTTAAAACTGCCACTGGTTCCCCCTTCATAAGATTGCTGTCAAATGAGGCAGTGGTTTCAGAAATGCTCAGCCTGCAAAGACAGTTTGGGTAAATGATACCCACTGCTGCTGCTGTTCCCTGCTCCCCACCCATGACCAGCCAATCACTCTGCCCATCGGCTTGTCCTGAAGAAAGCTGATCTTTCTCTGCTCCAGATCTTTGCCCAAGGACAGAACAGGCTGCTTGGCTTGGCTTCACTGTGCCTTTGGCCCTAGCTTCTGCTATGAGCGAGGCTGGTGTCCAGTGAGGAGGTCAGGGCCCCAGAGCTGCTCAAGCCCAGCATTGGAGCTGGGAGTGCCCCGCCCTGGTGTCAGTCCCCATTTATGGTGGACAGCTGAGAACAGATGCTGGAGCTTAGTTCTGTGGTAGCGCACTTGCCCAGCTTGCGCAAGGCCCTCGGCCCACCCCTGGCACCACAAAAAATTTTTTTCGTTAATTTTAAAACGAGAACGTAGGCCAGAGATGTTCTGTACCCTAAAGTACCCAAATCAGAGGGATTCTGTGGGTCTTCCCCCAACCCTCTTTGTAGAGGGGATGGGGAAGCTAAAGCTCCAAGCACTGTGTGCCTTCTGAGACAGCCTGTTGCAGGGCTGGGCCTGCCTTCTAGTCCTCTGTGTTGTCCCTCTTCCTTGGTGCTAGCTTGCTCGCAGGTGGCCTGTGTACTGTTCACACACACACACACGCGTGCGCGCATGTACTCCTGTGTGCAGTTCAGAATGTCCCCTCCATAAGCCTTCCAGATTCCCCTGGGGGGAACTGGCCACTGGTTCTCAGCTCATGTCCCTCTGAGCACATGCATAAAGTCAGACTGTGACCTTTCTGGGGATGGGGCTCCTCATCTTGGGGACCTCAGCAGCCAGCACAGCAGAGGCATTTAGCAGACCAGTGCCAAGCAAATAACTGAACTGAGCATGGCCCAGGGGCAACGTGCTTTTACTCAAAACTGAGCCCAAAATTACACTTTTCCTTCCACGCCTCTGCTTTCACATTCGTATTTTGATTCCAGTGCTGCCTCTGGGTCACTCAGTGCATTTCCCAGTGGCAGAAGGGGTGATGATGCCTCCCAGGTGTTACCCGCCCACGTGCTGAGGGCAGGGAAAGGGATGCTGGGAGGGGGCCTGGCTCCCTGGGGCAGAGGGAGAAAGCCCTCCGAGGCTGCTCTGTGACCCCTCAGACCTGCCCTGTACCTCTGATTCTCACAGCCTCCGCCCTTCTTCTACCCCAGGAATACGTCGCCTACAGTCACACGGGCCGCATCATCCCTGCCATCTGGTTCCGCTATGACCTCAGCCCCATCACGGTGAAGTACACAGAGAGAAGGCAGCCGCTGTACAGGTTCATCACCACGGTGAGTGGCCGGGGAGCGCACGCCAGCTGTGGCTCCAGCTGGACAGGAGGCTTTGACCCAGGGAAGCTGAGGAGCGTTATGCGAAACACACTGGTGTCAGTGGCATGTCGCCTGGAGAATATTTCCCAGGGGCTAAGTCCTTCAATTCCTAAAACAAATCTCCATATGGCTCCATGACAGGCTGATGATTTTCTCCCTTTTCTTTTTTTAATTTTTATGGAAATTTTTTTAGAGTATTCATGCCTTATTTCCAGCCATCAGGTGAAACTTTTTTTCTTTTCTCTTGATGACCTGTTTACTTTTACTTTCTTCTTTCCTCTGCGATTATCTTGTTCTTATCCAGTTTCCTCCAGGGCAGCTTCAAGCTGTTGTCAGTTTCATCTTATCCTGATTTTTTTTTCTATCATGTATATAAGTTTCCTGGCCTCCAGTTCAAAGTGTCCTTGGGGACAGAACAGTTCACAGTGTCCTGCTTCAGCCAAGAGGCTCAGGAAATGTTGGGCAACTAGAGTCAACTAAGGTAGACAAGATGGGTGACGGTTCCTATCTCACAGACTTGGAATCTGAGGCCTAAATTTATTTATTTATTCATTTATTTTTGGTCAGAGTCAGGACCTTACGCCTGCCTGGCAGGTGCTTGTGCCACTGAGCTATATCCTTGGCCCTGGGAGGCCTAAATTTAAATATGCCCTTAAGCATCTATATTTCTTCAAACCTTTTTTATTTTATTTATTTATTTATTTATATTTATTTTTTTTTTTTTTTTGAAAGATAGGCTTTGCTGTGTTTCCCAGGCAGGCTGTGAACTCCTGAACTCAGGTGATCCTCCTGCCTCAGCCTCCTGAGGAGCTGAGATTACAAGTGCCTTCCAGTACACCTGGCTTCATACGTTTAGTAATGGTTCAAGATCAGGAATCTTCTGGGTTTTTCATTTTCTGCTGTGACTAGGTCTGCTTTAGTCAAAACTACAGAACAACAGCGCTGAAACTGGCTGGAGAGGCATTAGGCATGACTGAATCCATGTCAGGAGGAGGCCTCTCTCAATCTTGATTTGCCTTCTTCTGTCCTGGCTTCATTTGCAAACAGAATTTACCAAAAGGAATCACCTCTTCCTCAGTACTGCCTCTCAATTCCAAAAAGAGTTATGCTCTCATGGACCCAGCTCGGGTTCCAGTGTCGTACCTGTGGTTGGAGAATGGAGTCCTCTGGGTGGCCAGGCCTAGGTCCTGTGCCTGTCCAGATCCAAGGACAAAGACTGTAAGGGATGGGGCTCCCGAAGAGAAAAGCTGGGGGCAGTTACTAAGAGAGGGAGAAGAAGATGGAAAGGGAGCATGGGAGGCAAAACGGTCAGGTCTTCATCTTCTAACCAATGATGTGGGTCCTGGAGTATGAGGAGAGAGGGTCGGAGGAAGGTACAGAGGTACCCACCATGACATGTCTAATGAAGACCTTGCAGCCTCCATCCATGGGGGATGGAGCCCTATCAGGTCAAGGGGAGAACAGGGGAAAGAAGGAAAGAAACCCTTCCTCCCTCACCTAGGCACCAAACCCGTTGTGGCTCATTCTCTTTCCCTTCCCACTTGGCCAGCAGCCTGTCTGTTCTCTCTGCCCTGTCTCCACCACTCAAGTGTGGGCCAAAGAAGCGCCAGGCTTCTCTATTGCAGGGAACCCGTGAGATCTTTAGCCCTGATGGTGTTTCTGAAAGGCCCAGACCACCATTTTGGTTGCCACAGCAACCATGAGGTCAGGCTGCTGAGTGAGCCACCAGGCTGTCCCTGGCAGATGGCGTCATTGTGTGCTTCAAAGGCCCTTGTCACGGGGTAGCAGATGTGGGGATGACGCATGCACTCAGACACACACGGGCACGTGCAGTGCTGAGCTCCCCAGGAGCCTGCATGGCGGGTGGGGTTGGGGTGGAAGTGCGCACACCTGCTGCGACATCCCCTTCTGTCTTTCAGAGTCAAACACTTGTGTGCAAAGCCTCCCAGCTCCAAATGGGAACCTCTGCAAATAGCCCCTCGGAGAGCTGCTGATGAAGAGGGGCTTAGGCCAGGGTGTTGTCATTGGCGGCTGCGGGGCTGGGGTGGCAGCTGTGGGTGGGCGGAATGAGGGAGGAGAGTGGCGACCCAGCCTTCCAGCGCTCTTCTATGTATCAAGTGCCTGGCTTTCCAGGCCGCCCCCTGCCTCCTGTGTTCTCCTCATCTGCTAAGGACTTGCTAATCCTGGGCCCAAGCAGTCTTTGCTCCTAAAAGTCGTCCCCTGGGTTGCTTAAAGCTCTTCTCTTGGGCCTTCAGGGCTCCTTGCTGAGACCTATGCTTTGTGCTCTACCCGGAAATTCCACCACCAAAAGAAAACACAGAGTGTACACAATGACACACAAGTGTCCCCTCCTACACATGCACATGTGTCCCCTTCCCCACCACTTGTTCAGACTCCTTTTTTGAGATTCCCTCAAGTGGGTTGTGGTGACAGATTGGATGGCTGTCAGATCTCTTTCCTGGCTTGGCTCATTTTATTTTGGAGGTAAGACCCAGACGTCATACAGAGCCAAATCGGGCTGCGATGGCTGTGACCATTGTGGCCCCACCAAAAAGTACCGGATGCCGACACCTTGCTCCCAATTCAAAGCCTAGGGTTCTTGAAGAGTTTGAGTGGAGTGGTAGTCAGGACCCTTGGAAAGGGGGTGCATTGCACTAGCAAGTCCTCCCCATCCAAGTTCCTCTCCACAGCCCTCCCCGTCCCGTCCTCACATATCAGAGTCCCCCGACCTTCAGATCACACCACAGAGTTATGAGCTCCGGTTATGACCTGCAGATCTGATTAACCTCTGCCTCCAACTCCCAGCACAGGGACTGGACAGTGCACAGGTGTCACAAATGTACAATGCAGGGCTGCATAAGGAAGCAGTCTTGGGCTACCCTCAATAAAAAGGGTTGGAGGTTTAGCTCAGTGGCATAAGCATCTGCCTGGCAAGTGTGAGGTCGTGAGTTCAATTCCTGATACCAAAAATTTTTTTAAAAATTAAAAAAAGATGGGTGTGTAGCTCAATGGTAGAGTACTAGAGTACCTAGCATGGTGCAGGCCCTGGGTTCAATCCCCAGCACTCAGAAACAAAACGAAAAACAAAATGAGGACTCTTAGACTTCATGAGCTAAACCCAGACTGTAGGGGAACTATTACAAAGAATTAACAACTGGGACCTCACCTTATTAAAAAGCTTTTTGCACAACAAAAGAAATCACCAACAGAGTGAAAAGAGAACCCATAGAGTGGGAAAAAAATTATAGCCAGTTGTCCCTCAGACAAAGGACTTCTGTCTAGGACATATAAAGAATTGAGGGGCTGGGGATTTAGCTCAGCGGCATAAGCACCTGCCTTGCAAGCAGGCGGTCATGAGTTCAATCCCCAGAACCGAATTAAAAAAAAAAAGAAGAAAAAAAATCAGACACCCTGCCCCCAAATTCAAAGACCCAATCCAAAAATGGGCAGCTGAGATGAACACACACTTCTCAGATGAAAAAATTAATGCATGAAAAACTGTTCAACATGATTTGTCATTTGAGAGATGCAAATTAAAACAACACTGAGATTCCATCTCACCCCAGAAACAATGGCTATCATTAAGAAATCAAGCAATAACAAATGCTGGCGGGGCTGTAGGGTAAAAGAAACTTCTTCACTGTTGGTAGGAGTATAGACTGGTGCAACTACCGTGGAAATCAGTGGAGATTTCTCAGAAAACTAGAATTGGAGGTCCCATTCAACCCAGCTATGTGCCATCTAGATATCTTCCCAGAAGAATTAAAAACATTATACCACAGTGAAATATGTGCATCCATGTTTATAAGCAGCACAGTCTATAATAGCTAAATTCTGGAAACAACCCAGATGCCTATCAACTGAGGAATGGATAAAAGAGATGTGGCTTTTAAATGTACTACTCAGCCATAAAGAAGGATAAACTGGAGACCTTTCTAGGTAAATGAGTATAACTCGAGACTGTACTCATAAGTGAAATAAATCAGATGTGCACGTGTAAAGATTGTACTGTCTCACTGGTGTGAGAAACTGAAAGAGTACATAAGGTCCAAAATGTACAGTAGATACTGTGAATTGGGAAGAAACTGTTCAAAAGAAAAGACAAACTGTGATGGGGAAAGGGAAAAGGAAGGAAGGGAAAAAGGAAAAACAAAGTATTTACATGCGAGAGTTAAGATAGCTATACAGCTAGTTTCTCTTAATTCACTAAAAAGAAAGATTTGTGCTAATACTATTTAGACAAGCTATGCCTATGTCTTGTACTCTGAAGACAACAATATGCAATGTATTAACTTTTGTAACTCTCCTAATCTGTTTTGAAATTGTTTTATTTTTATTTTCTCTTTAAAATACATTTAAAAAAAAAAAAAAGATGAGAACTCTAAAGGTTAGTGTAGCAACAGAGGCCCCAAAAGTTATGGTGCCTTGGTGTGGGACACCAGGATCATTGATAGAGTAACTTTTAACCCAGGACAGAACTACTATAATAGGAAACAGAGCTGTTTGTGACCATATATGCTAGGATGGCAGGCACAAACATAGATACCATATGACCATGGCCATCTAACCTTGGCCAGCTGACACCTGTAATCCCAGCATTTAGGAGGCTGAGACAGGAGAATCACTGCAAGTTCAAGGCCAGCCTGGGCTACAAAAGTGAGTTCAAGTCCAACCTGAACTACATAGCAGAACCCTGTCTCAAAAAGACAAAAAAAAAAAAAAAAAAAAAACCCAGAGGACAGGCTGGATGAACACTGTGATAGAGTCCATGCTCACCATGTGTGGCCCTAGCCTGGGGTCAGTCCCCAGCACAAGAACAAATTCCAGGAAGGTTTTACTCTCTAAGGCCGTGTGAGCTGAGAAAAGGCCTCCTGCCACTGGAGCAGGATGGAGGAGACAGACCTCGAGGCCCCCTACAGACAGGGTCCTCTCCCTCTCCTTCTGTCTCTTCCCTGGCCTGT